ACAGTGGCCCCTTGATTGAAGATAGACGGGTTTTTAAAATTTTAAGACTAAGCGTCAGTGAAAAGGACATTAATATCCTAATTTAGCATATTACAACCAGCTTGTGGGCATGACACTCCCCCCTAATTTAACCACCTATATTATTTTTCAAAACAAACTATTGTGACTAAAATAATTTTGACTTTTTACTGTACAATTTTATGACTGAAGGGGTTCTCCATCTTGGCAAAAATCAGTCAAGACCATCTCATTAACTTGTGAGTAATGATGGTAGATATATGTATTGAAAAGTCTCCTGTAACAACTTTCTTTGAATCAATTCTGCAGGAGCATATTTTAAAGACATTTTTGAAGTGTCCTCTAATCTGCCATAGTTCTACAAAGTCGCCTTCATGCAGGCCCATATTTTGAAGTAAAAGAGAGATTTTCATCATAATTGTCCCTCAGATTTTGTCACTTTTTATTACTAAAGAGAAAACTACAGTATATAAATGTCAAATTGACTGAACATTCACAATATATCAGACTATAGAGTAAATCAGTTCTCATCTTTTACGCTTGGGAGGAGAATACAATTATTAAAGAGCACAGTGAGTTAAAGGGTCTCTTCATTCTGAGGAAGAAAACGCAGGTATGCTGTGAAAACAAAAAGGAAGGCAATTAGCTGGTGTCCACTTAATGTGAAAACACTTTGAAAAAAAAATTACCAAGAATGAAACCACGTGCCTTTCAGGACAATGGGAAATGGCTTCAAATCAAAAGAGGGTAGCTTTAAATCAGATGTTAGGATGAAACTCTGATTGTGAGGGTGATGAGGCACTGCAACAGGTTGCCCAGAGAACCTGGGGATGCCCCATCCCCGGAAGTGTTCAAGGTCAAGTTGGATGGGACTTTGAGCAACCCGGCCTAATGGAAGGTGTTCCTGCCCACAACAGGGGAGTTGAAAGTAGATGATTATTCAGGTCCCTTCTAACCCTTACAATTCTGTGAATATACATGCAGAGCAGCTGAAGGGGTCAGCAGTTGCAATGATGACTTGCACACAGGCACCATTGTTTCTACATCTTGTTTTATATAGGTCCCTAAAGCCCTATTCCTACCGAAGTTATGTTGCCAGGCACTCTGTAATGGGACAGAGAGTTCAGAAATAGAACACAGAAGAAGATGCGAGGCAGGCAGCAATATAATGGAAGTACAAGAAGTAACTGCTGGTCATGCACAAACAGAACCAAAACAAGCACGTCCACAGGAGAGGATGAACAGGTTGATGTGGGTCTCCTGAAGTAAGGAAAGACAAGAAGAGGGACATGCAAGGAAGCAAGGAGGACAAAGTTACAGTTTTTATTATAACTTTCTTATTTTTGTCTTTACAATGTCTAAAAGCCACTACAATAGTCATATGGGTCTCCAAACATTTTTAAGTTCAAATTTATGAAAAAAAGCCAACTTCAAATAACTTCCATCATTAAGTTCTCTATAATTCTAAACATTTGGCCTTAGGGACACATTAGATATTTAACTGAAAGATTGTACCAGTCCAAGGATTTGGGCAATAGAATGAATTTGATATGCAGAAGCAGGATGCCATACTGCATAGTATCATCTGTCATCCATATGAATTACTTTGTATTATGTGCCTTCTCAGCACTTAAGAAAGATGCAACATGACTTTCAGGACTGAACAGTAGCAAGACTAAACCACTTTCCCCTTTCACCCTCATACTTGCAAAAACACAGATAGTGGACTATGGGCAAGAAAACATGATGGAAAACTAATTATAACTACAGCATAAATATTGTAAATTATCTGCAATAAATTGTCATCTTTACAGAACTACCAAAAAAGTTACAAAGATATAAATATTAACTGCATTAATCCAAGCTTGAAACTCTTCAATTTCCAGATATAAATGGAAGATGAACTATACTGAAGTTATTGAGCTGAAATTATTCCCAGATGTGAATAGGTGGGGTATTTTCAATCATGGAGTTGCTAAACCACAAGTATTAATATTACTTTAGTATATTTTTGATAGAAAAGACAAAAATCACAGAATACTTGTTGTAGGCCATAACGATGGCTATTGAGATCAAAAACCAAGTGAATGCAAATTATATAGAAGGATAAAAGCAAATCTGAAATGAAAGCTCTTAATTTCAAAAAGAAGAAATTATAAATGAGGGAGAATAAAGCCATATGCACATAAACATAGTAGAAAAATCAAATTTAAGTTAAATGTGCAAAAACCGAAACTCACATCTCAAGTTAGCTCTTTGGCATATTGCTGGGAATATATAAGTGATCTCAAAAGAGGCTTTTCATACCAAGTACTTTAATTGAACATTTCAAAGTTGTCTTCACTTCAACAAGTTACTCCAGAGCCTGTTTCTCTTCTTGCTCTCAACTCCACTGCACAAATGCAGCTCCTGTAAGTGGTAGTGAGTTCTTCTGTTCAAGATTAGCTATATGCCACATTCATCTTAGGTGTTTCTCAAACACAGTATATTCTGTAGGAACTCATGAACATTTAAAGATAATAGACTCAAAATACAATAATTTAAATCACAGTTGGCATTTGAACATATCTTTATAATAGAATGGATGTCAGTTATATTCTGGAGAAAGAAAAGAGAAAGGAAGGCAGCTGGACATCTAACTAAAAGGATATATACTGGGGTAGAAGTGAAATATAGTCACATTAATATTATAGTATATGTCTGAAGGTATTATATAATTATTTTCTACCTAAAATGTGCTTAGTTAAATCTGTATCACTTTAGTTTACCTCCACTTTGCAATAATATTTTTCTTAAAAATGACAAACTACTGATATTTAGGAACACAATATCTTATTGCCTCAGATTTTAGAAAAAAAGTTCAGTTATGATTTTAAATGTTTAAGGGTCTCTGGAAAGTTTGTGGCATTTAAAAATATTAAGCCAATCAATCTGAATATGTCAGAAAAATTAAAACTTAAAGCTCTGATCTCTGTTTCATTTTTAACTACAAGAAATTAGGAAAACCCAGCTAATTAGTCTACATAAGTATTTATACTCTGTTTACATACAAAAATTATATAAATAAAGCCAAAGAAAACCTCCCACTACTACCTTAACTGTTCATAATTCCATTGAATTTAAGTTTCTCTGACAGATGTCTTATCATCTATAAGAGAAGCTCTTTCCTCATCTAACAGATAATAAATTAATATAAGTTAGTCATGCCTGATTAAACCAGCTTAATAGTTTTGTAAACAAAGGAACACAAAAAAGGTTCGAAAGGTAAAACTACAATATACAGTCTTACAGCAAATAACTTCTGAGAAATACCACATAGGAAATTGAAGCAAAAACTTGTAAGAGATAACCTGAAAACTAGCTGAGATCCTTTCCATGCTAAATATTGTCAACAGATATTTTTCATATGTTTTTAAATACCACAATATTACTTAAACTTTAGAAAGACGCAAATTATTAATACAATAGAAAGTCTGAAACAAAAAATCCCATTAATAACCAAAATAACTTCAGGGAGTGGCTGGGAAATATTCCTTGCACATTATTCTAGTAAGCTGGAAACACTATGTTCTGCGAGTACACAGAGAAATTATAATTAATGTTATATAAAAACTTTGCACAGTAACAGCCCAAACACTATTGGCTGAATCCTGCACTGTTAAAGGTAATAAGAGGCACAAATCTAACAGGGAAGAGGATCAAGCCGTAAGATAAAACCACCTGCCTCCAGTAGAGCTAGCAACTAAAGATGCTGAGTTCCAAAATTTGCCTCTTTTCACATGCCATTTTGACAGCTTCTCTGTCAAGCCACACACCTCCTAGGTACTGATAAATGGAAACAATCTCTTTATAGTACTTCACGAATAACTGCTCTAGTACAGAATGAAAAGAAAACCATTAATTCCTTACTGCACAAATAGATTATTATATATGAAATATTTTAAAGATAACTCTGTTAAAGCTTGTTATAGACTATCTCTATTTTCCCAAGAGAAATAGGTTGTCTATAGAAAGTTTTCTGAGGTTCTGGCACTGCTTTATTATTTTCTGGGCTTTTTTCCCCTATGCTGTATAGCAGGATCAATTACAGCACTTGTTATGAAAAAAGCCACAACGAATATCAAATAAAAACTGCATTACCCTGAGGATGGACAAAGCAAACACAAACCCTTCTATCACCTCTGGGATAACAGTCCCAACTGAATGCCCTAGATTAAATTATTCTGATATTATGATATGTGTTGGTTTGACGGCTCCTAGAGGGCAGAGGCAACATACATAAAAAAATAAGAAACAGATCTGTCTTTCAGCTAAGAAAAAAAACCTTCTCTTTCTGTCCTTCCCTTTACATATTCTTTTAATACTTGACAAATGGGGTATTATGCTAATATATGTCAAATACTGGACATTTCTTGGAACAAGAAACAGTGACCAGGCAGTATTACTTGAACTTACTGTACTTCCACAAGACTAGAAAGTGTAAATGGGTACTCTGTTTCTTAGTTTGAGAAATAGAATCTGCACAGTAATCTTTGGGTCAGCTGTGATGTGTGAATCTGTTTTATGGATACATTACTGTACTGCCTTAATCTCCTTTAAATGTCTGACAATTAAAAAAAAAAAAAGTGGGAGTAGAAGACTTAAGGGTTCATGTTTATATAAATCTGGATTAAATAGTTCTTATTCTAGTACATATTTCAGTTGCTGGAATAAAACAGGCTGAAAAAATTTACTATGGCATGACATTGTTATCAAATGGATTATAATAGGATTTGTTTAATTACATGAGTTACTCTCTCTTTCTTTTGCACCACAATTCTGACAAAGTCTAGAGTTCAACTGCAGTAATGTGTTTAAAACATAAAGCTGTAATCACTAATTTTGGGTCTCTCTCTTCACAGAAAATAATCAAGTATATATAAAAAAAAGTGGCATAATTAAAATAATATCTAACTACAAGAACATAAAATAAGACTACTAACCCAAAGCGTGTACTCTTCCTCTATGCTTCTTTGAAATCTTGTTTGCTTTAACTATGTGCAGAGCATTTTCTTTGAACTGCAGCTCACAAAGTCTTTCAAGAAGAACTGTCATTTCTTCAGTGATGGTATCCAGGTAAGTTTCATTAATAAATTTTAATGACAAAGATGGACCAATAGTTCCACTTAGAATATACAAATCCTCTTTTATCATTGTGCACAATCTGGGTATGGAACTTTGGTAACCATAAACTACCTTATCAAAATTTGTTTCACCACAACTAGACAAAATACAGTTTTGCAGAAGATCACTAACTAGTTTATTCTGCATATTTTGATACCTCATTAAGACTTCTGATTTGGGATAAAGAAACAAAAGCTGCTGTACACACTGAGTTTTAAACTCCATTTGCTGTTGTAAAGCATTAGTGCTTGTTTCTTCTTGACTTTGCAATCTATTCACTAAAAATTGTCGAAGATGCAATCTCACATCATCCCAAAGAGATTTCACATCCACAGCTGAATCATCCTGAATGGTATGAAGTGAAGATGTTAACTCGAAAGACATCCCGCTTGCAGTACAGGGAAATGAGACACCACACTGACTAGAGAGATCCAGAAGGAAGTGAAGTACCATTTCTTCTTGATTCTTCTCATTCTTCAACAAGCTTTGCTAACAAAGGTAAATCAAAAAATATTTTAGAAATTTTTGTTAATTCCAGTTCATTAAATGAACAGCTTAATATTAGCTTCATTAAATGAACAGCTTAATATTAGCTTAATACAACCTGCTTCCTATGCTAATTATCTTAACAGCAAGTAAGGTATGTAAGCAACAGAAATTATAAAATCCATGGAAAACAGGATTTATATGCAAATTAATCTTTTTGTCTACCTCTGCCAATAACTCACATTCATTTTCTCATCTTTCTTATATCCCCAACCTCTTTTCTCAATCAATTCTACACCACAGTTCAAAGGAAACTCTTGGCAGCCTTTCTGTTGTTACAGCATCTTTTAAAGAAAACGGTATGAAAAAATTACTTCAGATTTACACAGATAATGACAGGTTTTTCTCATAAAACTAAGCAAGGATTTATAAAACAGTCACTTTCTATGGCTCAGCAGGCAATAATTAAAAAAAAAAAAAAAAAAAACCCAAAAAACATTCTAAGGATAAAAAAATCTTCCCAGGACTTCCTTAAAGAGTGAAATTGAAAACTTGTCAGGAATTAAAGAGCCTTAGATGACACAGGACAGAAGAATAAGAAGCTATGTGACCCATCAAACCAACACGCAGACTGATATTTCAGTGACCTCCATATACATCTGTGCTATATGTGTTGGAGAAGGCAGCCAGGTAACAAAGTAAAGTGAAAACACATGGCTGCTGCTCCTTCTTCATTCAAGTCCGAAGAGCTCTCTCTCAAATCAGGGCTAGGATCTCTGACCTCAGAGCTTGAAGCTTCAGCTTCAAGAGATCATGAAGCAAATGGCAGCTCCTCTTGTCACAGCTCAATACTACTGTCACAAGAAAACTGAGTGGAACTGGTGGTATTCTCAGTTTTCTTAGTTTCAGTACGAAAGCTTTAAGTGGATGAGTATCTAGAAGCCCTCTCACTTAGTCATTCGTCTCCCTTTGCTTCTCTCCAACAGTGAAAATATTGTGGCAAATCCCCTCAGGGGGGTTCACTCCAGTCATGTCTTTTTTATGGGTCTCTGTCATAGTATCACCCCAGCCAGGAACCAAGCCCCAGGCAGCCACTTGCTCACTCCTGTACCAGGAGAACTGAGGAGAGAATCAGAAGGGTAGCAGCCACAAAACTCATGGGCTGTTAGACAGACAGATTAACAGGCAAAGCAAAAGCCATGCACACAGGCAAAGCAAAACAGGGAATTAATTCACTGCTTCCACTGGCAGGCAGGTGTTCAGCCATCTCTAGGACAGCATCAGTCATCATCAGGTCATCCCTTCAGACATACGTGTTTTCTTTCTTCCTCATATTTTATATACAGAGCCTGATGCCACATGGTCTGGAATATCTTTTTGGTCAGTTTGGGTCACCTGTCCTGGCTGTGTCTCCTCCTACCTTCCCATGCACCACCAACTTCCTCACCAGTGTCACAGTATGAACAGCAGAAAGGCTCTGTGTAAGCCCTGCTTGGCAATAATAGAAAAACCTCTATATTGTGCTGTGTGTTCAGCACAAATCCAAAACATTGCCCTGTACTAGACACTAGAAGTCAGCACAGTCTGCAAATCCTACTCCATCCTATAAAGCAAGGCTGGTAAAGAAACCTTTGCTACCTTCCACCTTCAGCATTTCTGTTTTATTTAACTTACAGTATTTGAAAAAAATATTAGTTTTATTTCTGTTCCCATTTTGAAGGAGAGGTAAATTATTCAAGTCTGAGTACGGTATTCATAAATATACCTATTTTGGAATGCCAAATACTAAACCTTTCCCCTGCAGCAAGATTTTATCAATAGACAATTATGCTTTAGAGTGAGAAAAAAATTTAAATTCAGAACACCTATTCTTTGTTCTGGATGTTTCAAACCTGTTACATACCTTAGAGGGTTTAACCTTCTTGTTGTCCTCTACTCTGACCAGAGTTTCTTGAAAAAAAACTCCCACTTTCACTACAGCACCTAATTCTGAATAACAGACTGGGAGCTTGATTGCCCCCTATAAAGAAAGTCTTAAAAATAACAACTACCTATTTTTCTTCGATTTTAGATCTCTATTTCACAATAATTCTTACTAAATCTTCTTACTTACAAGCAAGAAATATTCAGAAGACAGAATAATAAAGGAAATTATCAATTGAATATCATTCTACAAAAGCATATGCATGTAATAAAAATATGTGTAACTGGTTCAAATCTTAAATCATATATATCAAAATGCATAATACCAATCTGATTTTCTTTTATTCTCTGCTGAACTATTCTATAAAGTTTAGTGGCCCCAAAGAAAAATGTGTTTCAAAGTGTAAACTGAAACCCTGATTACTAACCACTGTGTTGAAAGGTTGTCTCTTGACAAGTAGACTTCCGGACTTTAACTGTTGGGGATTTTTTATGAATCATGTTTAAATACTACATTCTGAAATGTACAAAGTAAGAGAAGCTGTCAAAACAGTACATGCACCTGATGCTTTTTAAGGCAAAGCAGAAATATTTTTATATATCTAAGGATTGTTTTAAGCCCTTCACAATTTAAACTACAACATTAAAAACAGGAGCTTGCAGATGCTATTTTAGACATAACAATACCCAGAAAGAATACCTGAAGTGAATTTTGAAGCTCTGAAAAGTGTCATCAAGCATCTTCACACACTGCCTATATTGATATATGCTTTTTTATTTAAAAATTAACCTGTAAAAATATTGCAAAAGATGATGCCAGCACTATTTAACGGGAAAAAGATCCAAATTTGTATCCAAAGGTTTTGGAGAAGCATAAAAGGTTCCCTTTTGAGCCCAGAAAGTTAGTCATAACAATAATATACAGAAAACTAGTTACAGTTTACCATCTGGATTACTGCGTAATACACACAGCTACCTACCACATCAATAAACAAGTACAGTAAGATGAAGACTTCATTAAAAAAATAATCTGCCATTATTTTATCAGGAACAGAATTTAATGACAATGTGTTAGTGCATATATTCAGCTTTTAAATATTGAGTTAAAAGACAGTACAGAGAATGACAAAATTTCACATAATTAACATTTTCAGGCTTCATGAAGAAATTCTCAGTATTTTCATAAAAATTTACAAATGCATGACAATAACAATAAACCTTAATATAGCACCTCAGGCAAAGCCCAGAAAGAATTTTGCAATGTTTTTAAACTGTCCCAGCAGCTTTAAAGATAAAAAAAATTCCTAACAAAATAAATACATATAATAAATTATAACAGTGAATAGGGATATTGTCCTGAAGTAGAAAGGAGCAGTAGAAGGCTCCTGATACTGAATATTAATTATATATACTTAATTAAAAGCATGCAAGAAGACATTATCTAATTAGTTCAATGGATAGAGATATATATTTAAGAAAGGTAAGATCATAATAATCTCATTAATGCTGAATATTATTGAAAATTGTTTACTGTAGACCTGTTTATGGAACTGAATGTGACTTCTTACAGACAGACTGTAGTACAGTCAGTACTACAGATACAGACAGTACAGATACATTTCTCATCTGTAATTCCATCTACACAATAGGCTGGATTATCTAAGAAGCCATGAGCCTGGAAATAGTGATGTCAAAGTTGCTGAGCTCCAAAACGGTTTTCATTATAAACTGCAGAATTGAGATTTTCAGGTTTCTCACTTTGCTGTCTGTTTAGCAGCCTGCCACAGAGCTGTTCTCAAAGCTTAACTGGATTCTACAGCTCACAGCAAGACTGTCATGCCGTTAGTAAGCTCCCTGGAAGCTGGAGAGCTGGAAAGCATTTTGTGTAAAATGGGGACATTTTAGTGTTTTCCAAACAAATGCCGCCACCTGGTGTTCAGGCATATGGCTTGAATAGACCTTGAAGAAGGAAGAGGAAATGGACACAAGTAAGTCATGAGTGCCATGCCAAGAACCTTCTAAGGGAATGCAGTAAGGATCTGAGTGGACTAAGAGGAATAACAAAAGACTCCTGAAAGCAGGAAATTCATAGTCAGCTTTTTCTGGGACTCTCTAATTTCATCTAGATCAAGTATGACGTGTAGCAGCCTGTGACATCCTTGAATGGGACGATTATTAATAGCAACATTCATACTGATCAACTTTGTCAGAAGAGAACAAAATCACTCTTCACTACATGAACATTCAAGACCTGGTGTCTCTAAAAGTTACTTCCTCATTTGATACAGGTTAATATCCAGTGGAATGAATGGTGACTTAAAGACCAAGAAAAGTTCTAAGAGTTAAAAAAAAAAACAACAATAGCTGATTTTATCAAGGCTTGTGCTCTAGTCAGAGGAACTCCACTTCTCTAAAGTTTTCCTCTTCCATTACAGCTAATCTTAGCCTAAAGTTGCTCATGGACTGCAACTAAAGCATGACACAGAAGTGTGACACAGAAGTGACAAAGAATAATCACTGTTTAGGTGTTTTGACCTCATATATATGTACCATATCAAATGCATACATAAAAAGTTTATATATAAACTTGAAGACCATCATTCACTGAGGGATTAACCTTCAATTATCTTGCCAATTCAATTTTCTAGACTTCCATTTCCACAGTATATTCAACTGCAAACTTTAAATAAAAGTTTTTTTATAAAAATACTCTCTAAAATGATGGTACTTCATTGAAGTGAAATTTGGTTTCTGGGTGCATCTAGTATAACTTGATAGAACAAAGAATGTAGTTCCCATGTTTCTCATTGAGAAATGCAGAAACATAGAATCATTTGGATTGGAAGGGGCTTTTTTAAAGCTCCTTTAGTACAATCCTCCTACAATGAGCAGGGACATCTTCAACCAGGCTGCCCAGAACCTAGTACAACTTGGCCTTGAACATTCCCAGGGATGGGGCATCTATCACTTACCCCTTTGGCCACACAGCAGGTAGGAAGTTTATGCTTGAATTATGCATAAAGGACAATAACATTAGATGAGTTAAATTCATACAGATATAATTGAAGTAAAGAATATTCAGTAACACTAACTGCCTCAGTTGTAGACAGTAACTTCCAATGTTTTTTTTACCAACATGTGTTTTATAAAACAATCCAAGCAGTGCTGAACATATGGTAGCATCTGTGAAAAGATTTTGTTCCAAGTTTGTCTATTTAAGGCTTGATCAAAAGGAAACATAACACCCCGCTGCAGACATGGATTTGTGAACTCTCCTCATGACAGTAAAGGCTGAAATGAGAAAATGAATTGAAGTCATCCACCCACCTCCCCACCTCCGATCGTATAATGAACTTTCCAACATTAAAGTTTTTAATAAACAATTTTTACCAGGGTCTTTAGGAACTCCTGCAGCTCTCTATGGTCTGTAGAAGAAGGTCTGAGAGAAGTAAAATTGCAGTTATTTAGCCACTGAATGCAGTCAGTTGTGCTTTGTAGTACTTCATCAGCACATATTTCATTTACGTCTGATTGCAGGTCCTTAAGACACTTTTCTATGCTAAAAAAAAAAAAAAAAATCACAGGTTTTCATTATTTGGAGACAAAAGTATTTTATATATGCCATATTTAAAAAAGAAAAATTACTTAAAATTAAGGTAACACTAATCCTTCTTATTCACAGATTAACCCAGCCTCACAAAATAAGACCTGAATTTCCAGAATTAATAATTAACATTTAAGTACTTTTGAGCTAGAGCTAAAAAAACTTTCCTTCAGGCCAGACTGTACCATCCTTAGCCAGAGTATGTACAGCTTCACGTTCAAACAATCTTACTCTTTTTAATAAAGTAGTTAATGAACAAGACATTAGCCAACCTAATATCTGGTCCTTGGCGCTTAATTAGCTAAAGCAGAGACTATAAACTGAATCAATTACTGCATTCAAAGGTGAATGTGTCATTTTGCTCCTTTAGCAATCAGCAGTTGTTTTATAAAACATAAGATATATTAATAACTTCTTAAAGATCTACTGACATCACAGAAAATGTTGAAAAGAACTTCAGAGCCAGTTGTGCTGAGAAAGCAGATCTTTTCTTTCTTGTTTTGTCATTAGAATATTTGAAAGAAAACAGACTTTGTGTTCAAGGAGCTGATCCACTCCTTAACATTCATTGAGAATCATAACTCTTTTATGAAACCAGATGTGTTCGTTAGGTTTTTACAGTGATTTCAGTTGCAAAGATCACAAGAACAATTGAATATCCAGAATTGTTTTATTTCTACTTGCATGGACACTTAAGTAAAAACAAGACAAAACAAAACAATCCAAAACAATCTAACTCTATTTATTTTCCTACAGAAACACCTTTTTGGTATTTCACTTCTACTTTTTTTTTTTTTCAAAAGCAATGCTTAATATTTTATACAGTTTCAGTAAGGGAAAAAGAATTTAGATCCTGGCAAAACTGGGTTTAATAGCCCAGCCATGAATTCCAGTGAATTCCAAACTTGACAAAAGATTGGCAAGTATTTTTAGTTTGTGAAACCTGTTCTCAGGACTATGAAACTAAATGCTTTCTTCATACATCTCCGCTCCTGGGACACTATCAAAGGCTCTTATTGTGGTGTGCTGATGTATCTTAAACATACCAAAATATATTACAGCATTATGCAGAATTAAAGACACCACTGTTGTTAAATCTGTGACAATCTACTACGATTATGAGTGAATTTTTACACTTATCTTTGATATATGAATCTGTGAGCAAGCTAATAAACTACAAGCTATGAATAAACTACAGCCTTCTCAAGACCAGACACTTTGGTAATTTGTCCCAGTATAATCCCTGATAAGGGGATTAAATGGATAGATTTCAGTGTCACTGCCCTGCTCCTTAAGTCCCCCACAAGTATAAATCATGATAACCATGCTCATTTTATTTAATCCTTTTATCCTTCCAAAATAAACATTTAATTAAGACTAAAGCTCTTTTTGATTGAATAAACATATTTTCATCCTATTTATTTACAGAATATTGTAGTTAAACAGGTTTTCAAAACCACTGCTGCATCTTACTAAGAATTTTGTCAACACTTAGTAAGACATTAATATAGTTAATTACAGTAACTTACTCCTTTACATGAATTAAATATTTAGGAATTTGTTACCCTAAAAAAAAAAGTATGTGTATTATCTGAGTTTAGAAAGCAAACATTTTAAGTAAAAAAAAAAAGACTTCTGTTAAATATGATTAAAATTATTCTCACCACCTAGGCTGGTAACAAAAGCTTTAAAATTTCGTATTAGTGTAGGTAGAATGAGTCTTTGATTTCCTCGTTTAGAAAAGAAATTTCCTAAAGTTTCAGAAACTGCAAACGAAAAAGTAATTTTGATGTGAAAAATATACTTAATGTATTTAATTAATTTTCTTAAAACTACAATTTTTTAAAAAGCCAAATACAAAGTGCTAGATTCCTTTTTGATGAGTAATATTTTTTCATTAAGTGCAAATGTATTTTTTTTAAGTTCAGAGTAGCAAACTATCTACTTCTTTGGACATACTGAGGCACTAACCCAGATGACATCAACTGACATTATAAACATACTATGGATATGCAAGTTTAATGACCCTCAATAAATTTTTTGTTCACAGATGACTCAACATTTTTTTTTGTAACCTATTCAGACACAAACAGAAACAATGAAGTCACCAAACTACTAAGGAAGGAGTGGAATGTAAAAGCTTAAAGAAAGAAAATAATGTTTCTCTGTAGAAAAGAAACCTGATAGTTATGCTTGTACTTTTTTTTTTTTTTTAATTAACTGATTTTTCAAGAAACAAATCTTTAGTCTCACACAAGTAGTACCCTGAGCCTTTGTGGGCATTTTTTTTGTGGCTAGTACTCCTGGCATACCATTATGCAAGTGAAAATTATTTGACTGAAATACCTTCTCCTTCTTTCAGGTAAGAGTGCCTGCAGTTCTTTAACAAACCAAAGCAAAGTTGTGTTATATTATCTGTGTCCACATTGGAGTGCTTTTCTGGAGAAACATTTGGTAAATACCTGCACTGCAGAGAGACAATCTCCATGTAAGTGCTCTTGGGTGCTCTTATTTATTAAGTTAATGACAGTTTTTACAAATAACCTAATCATCTGGAGAGAATGCTTTTTAAATGGCTTCATCAATGGACAAACAGTTTAGAAAGTACTGCAATGGAACTGATAGTAAGATAGTATGATAGTAAGCACTATCATACTATCATACAGTGTCACATAACATTATTTTGAAATGTACAGTATCAGAACAAGGGTTTCCCCCTCCATATATCATTTTCTATTGTCTAAGATTACTATGAATAAGCTGAAGTATTCAATAGTAAGTTTCAATTTCTAACAAGCACATTTCAATTTATTTCATCTGGCATAGGGAGCAGCCATAAAATGACAATGACATTGGTTAAATTAAACTACTAAGCTATAAAGTGAAATTATCTTTTAACCTCATGTTCCTTATTCTTAAGATCCTCACATTCATTCTAAAGCTGAAACACAGCTTTAGAATCAGTTTACATGTCTTTTATTCAGAACAGACTGTTTTAAAATAAATGAGATAATTGTTTTCACTGCTGTTGAAGATGCAAGAAGTGTTATAAAACTACTGTTATTAAAAAGCTTGACTGCTAGAGGTATAGGACATTTGTACAAAAAAAGTCTTATCATTTGGAAGTCTGTATATCAGAAGACCTGCTGTGAGCAGTAAAAAATTTGCAGAAAGACTTTTAGCAGTGTAATTCACAGACATTTTAATTGTTAAACTTTCTCTTCATCTTGAACCCTAAGATCTAAACCAAAGACACAGCACCTGTTTAGAGGACTTCGAAAACTATTGCATATCTCTAATTTAGCATCGTACCTCCTTACAAAATATATCCACACTGTAAAGTAACGGCATCATTGAAACCAGAAGAAATAGAATGGTGTTGGCTTTGCTACACTTTAGCAAGATAGTTACTCAACAGCTTAAACATATAAGAACAGTCAGTTCTAACTAAACTACTGCCCACCCACCTTTTAACTTCCACTCTTGTTTTAAAAGCTTGAGATATTTCTGTCACAAGATGCAAGCTTTGTCTTAGTAAGTTATTTCAGAAGACAGACCGTAAAACATGAGTTTTTCAACTCCATTGACTAAAACATGACAGTGACAAATAAGGGCTCAAAACCCATCATCTCATATATGCTTGTATGAAATGAAATGGGATACTTCACGGGGCAGTCAAAGATCTGATTACAGTTTCTGTACATGTAGATGATAGCTAATCAACCACCTAGGGTCTGACACAGTGATAATCACTGAATATTCAAATCAAGAATATGTGTGTCAATAAAACAGCCAATTTCTGAGCAACTGTGCTGCCCAGTTAGCAAGTTGCTATGGAACAACTAACCCAGACTCAGTGATTATGCACAAAGACAACACAGTCTTCACAGGAGAAAAAATTACACTCCTTCCTCAGTTTACTCATTGCTAGCAATTGGTCCAGTAAAGTGATTAGACTAGACAACTACTATTCTGACAAAGGTATTAATAACACTGCTGTAATATCTTTACAGGCATTAAATTCTCAGGCAAACACTAAAGTAATACATTTGTACAATGAACCAGCTACATTCACCCAAAAGAGTCAAATTATTTTTGACAGCTGTGATAAATATAAGATCCAAGTAAACCTGATATTATAAAATAAATAATATTTTTCCTCTACAATTATCCCTCATTTGAAATTCTCTCAAATACTCAACCACTCTTCGGATTTTGGCTGAAAAAGCCAAGATTTTGATAAACCTCTTGACTAACAGGTATGTGGGGCACAACTGCTTCTTGAAAATTCCTAAGCAGAACAAGCCAAGATTTTCTTCAAAGTAAGACAGAAAGATAACTCCTGCAGAATATCTCAGTTTAAGAACACATAAGCCCTTCTACACGTCAGTTCTGATACAGGGAAAATGGAATGAGATAGTTTGACTTAATACCCTGTTTGAAACTCCTCCATCCCTTTGTTTTGATATCGGTAAGCATTTCTTAGCAAATCAGCAATGTTATGGTCAACAGCTGGACCACGTCATACTAACACCCTTACTGAGACATCTTCTGGACCTATGATTCACAAGGTAAAGATCTTATTAGTTCTTAAATAATTATCATAATTTCTATCAATGTTGATGGGAAAAGATGAAATGCTGTAAGTGCTTACTAGCATCGACCTTATTGCAGCCCTTCAAAATCCTTATGACTAAACTACTGTTAATTAGGTCAGGTTGAAATTTGTCGTAGTTTGACACTGGTCAACTTGCCAGGCACCCATGAAAACCAGAACAAAGGGCTCATGAGTTGAGATAAGGATTGGGAGAAAACACTCTAAGGGCAAAACAGGCTCAAACTTAAAGGTATAAAGTACATTTGTTATTAACAGAGTCAGAAGAGGATTATGAGTAAAATAACCCTTTAAAACACCTTTTCCCCTCTAGCCCCTCTCTCCTTCCCACTGAAAGCAC